TTTTTGGCTTTATCGAAACTTGATGCAGCTACTTATCAAGTAACCAGATTGATAATGAAATCAATCGGCAAGTAAAATGAATGATGGGTCTGGTTAGCATATCAGTTGATCAAAGCTTAATAAAAATTGACCATTAGTTGATCAGTATTTTATGGTTTTATATCACAACCGTCTTAGGCTTTAGATAACCTTCTAATCTAATTTTATAATTATTCACTAATTTATATATATGTTGGTTATCTTGTAATGTAATAGCAGGTAGGATACAATCTGGAATGATTCAGCTTTGAGGCTTAGGTAAAGTGAAGAAGTTTTAATGTTAATAACAAAAAAACAATAGAAAGTAACACGATGACTCTATAGAGACACTTTGAGTAATTCCGGTCAATATAGTTTTTTTGGTAAGGCAGATTAAAGATTGAGTTAGATTGAGTAAAATTTGGGGAATTTCGTTCTTTTCCATTCTTAATATAACAAGCGTGGCATTGTGACAGAGACACTTCTGTAGGATGTTTGTCAGTTAGATTCAAGAACAAAAGACAGTAACATTTCGTATCAGTTTATTTATCCCATCATTTCTCGTCAAATCAATTTTCAAGGTAACTTATCAACTGAAAATTCTCACAACAGCATTATTTTCCGTAACATTGCTGGGGAAGAAATTGAACAGTCAAAAATGGATATCATTATTGTTGTTGACGGTTGGAGTGGCTTTAGTGCAAGTATGTTTTTTGTAAAATTGTTGATCTTTTAAAGTTTGTTTTGATTTCGTCAAGAAAAATCTTGAAACAAATCTAAAACTCTTGTAGTGGTGGTTATTTTAAATAATGGCTGTTATTATAACGTTTTATTGTTGGGTTTGAAGGATCACTAATTGATTTATCTGCCGAAAAACTACATAGTTTATTGGGGGTAGTAGAGAGTGCTGAAGGAAGTATATAGATGGTCATAAATTTGCAGTTCTTCTGTGATATTTAGACGAAGCTGCTAAATCTTTTCTGATAAAATAAGCTTTTCGTTTTTCCTTTTTTCATCTTTTACTGTTAGTATCAAATTCCGCAGAAATTATCTGTTTTAGTTGCCCGATGATTTCGGTAAAATAACATCATCAACAACAAGTTCTGCGTTATCAACGGATTCGGATAAAATGGTCGGATTAATTACTGTCATTGCAGCTTGTTTTTCGAGCGGTTTTGCTGGTGTTTATTTCGAAAAAGTCTTGAAAAGTTCTTCGGTTTCACTTTGGATGCGAAATTTACAACTTGGTACACGTTCGAACTTGTTAGAAATTTAATTTGAAATTGGGGCTTAGACCTTCAGCTTGGTTTTAAAGATTTTCCAGTAATGTTAACCGATATCTGTTCCTGAAAATTAGCCTGGTTTTGAATGTAAAAAATCGTATTAATTGTAAGGATTTGCATATTTCGAGAAAAACGAATTGCTGAGTTGTAAGATATGTCTAATGAAAGTTATTTTGAAAAATTTTAGCTTTTCTGCAGAAAAATAGCTTTTTCATAAATCATTATTGAAAATTATTCCTTTGTTATTCGCAACATATTTTTGATTTTTTTACAGCATTCTTCAGCATTTTTGGTGGATTCTTTATGGTCTGGTTTTACGATTTTAAGCAAGTAAATGAGCATGGTTTTTTTCAAGGATATAACAGCATAATTTGGACTGTTGTTCTGCTCCAGGTTTTAACATTTACTGCTTCTGGTTTTTATTTGTTAGAGAAGATATAATTTTTCTAATCTTTTAGTATTTTCAATTAGAATTTTGAAATGTGTATAACTGTTGAATATGCATAAAAGTTGTGTGAATTTTCACATTACGAAATGTGAGTCACGAAAATGCATTATCATTTATTAGTTTTTCTACTGAAATCGAATTCATCAAGGTTCTAAAATCTCCATTGCAAATATCTTGTCATTTCCATTTTTCTTTCAAACCTCTCAATGCATTATTTTCAGGCTTATGGGGGACTTGTTATAGCTTTAGTAGTAAAATATGCCGATAATATACTGAAGGGCTTCGCAGTATCATTTTCAATTGTATTGTCTAGCGTAATGTCCTACTGGTTGCTGGGTGATTTTCCAACCATCATTGTATGCTTTTTTTTGTGCTTTAAAATTTGGAAAACCAGGCTTCCAAGTTCTTCATTGTAACATCATCAGTGTAGACTACCGTATAAAGAATGCTGAGTTCAGAGATAAGATTGCATTTTAGTACAATCTGTGAGATTATTTTATATTTGGCAGCAAAAGATAATCGCTAAGAATCTAACTCAGTAAAGTGAGAGCACTGGAAAATATGGAATTCATATAAATTAAGTCAGAGTTATCCTTTTTTTCAAATTTTGTGTTTTTGATTGAAATTTTTTTTTTGCTTCTGCTGCAAAAGAAAAAATAATCATGTTTTTAGTTCCATGAAGTTGCATTTATTGGAAAACTTCATTTTTTGTCTCAAGTCACTTTTTTGGCTCGAATTTTTTTCAGTACGTCCTAATTTTTTTTTTTTTTGAAGGATTTTTGCTGCTGGTGCATTGGTTGTCATTTTTTCGACATTTTTTTATGGATATGAACCAAAGCAATCGCCCAAGTTGGTGCAGTCAGAAAATTGAAAATTAAACGAAGTTATGAGCAGTGTACAAAATCAAGAAACGAGTATGGGCACACGTTAAATATATAGAAATGCCAGAGTCTTTTCTCTTTGTAGATTTTTGCCTTAAAATTTAATTTATTCTTCACTATCGAAGCTCCCTCTGTCTATGTTCACTGTTCCGGTTGATGTTGATATCGGTGCATATCGATTTCTTAATAATTTTTTCGATGTATTTCTAGGTAGTGTTACATCCTCTGCTTCAAATCTATCGTTTCTTTCTGTTAAATTATTGAAACTTCATAAGTTGTTAGTTTTGGTTTATTGCATTAGAGTAGGTAAATGACAAAACTGTTTTTTTAAGGGATGAGTTTTGAACTTGCAACAATGTCATAGTTTGTTTCTTTAATATGCAGCTTTTGCTCCTCAGCTGATATCTTTGTGATTGCATGTTTTTTATATTTCGTTATCCTCTGAGATACCTATCAGTTGAAGTATCTCAGAGAATAATGAAATTTAGCACACCTCACTCTTTTATTAAATATATAAGAAGATGTGCTAAAAAAGTTTAATAAGTTTAATGTGTTGATGAAACGATATAAAGCGGCATAAGACAAATCATTGTAATTATTGTATTAAGAAATTAGTTCTTATTTCTCACCGAAACATTTTCACCTATTACTCTTTAGGGCTGATTACTTTTTCCCCGTTATTTATAGGCATTATTTCTTACTATAATTAAGGATATGCAGTTCTGGTTATTGTGGTATTTGTAATTTGCTATCAAACTGTTTTATGTTTTCTGTATCGATTGATCGATTAATTAGCTAATTATTAAAAGTTAATTAGCTAATTGCTTATTTCATGCAACAAATGTTTCATCATGCATATATTTTTGTACACTATATCTCATAGTTCATGAAATTTGAATGATACGCAGGACTAAACCTGTTGATAATGTAAAGTTGGAAATTACCGCGGAACTTTTTTGACCATTTTTTTTTTTTGTACTGCTCTACTTCACAATTACATTGTATCTTACATATTGCATCATCTGATCTGTAACCAAAAAAATGCATTTAGCTGGTAATTTTATTTATGCCTTCTTTTTACTTGAGTTACTTTGTTTTTTATGACTTCCGTTCATAGCCAAATCTAATCTATCATAGAGATTAGATTTTGGCTATCATCTCAACCTCTACTTCAAGGGATTGCTAAATTGGCTATGTCAAAAGCATAGTTCTGTTTGTTCCCAACAGAAAGGAATCGGAAACATACATGTTATCTGGACGATTTTTCTGATTGTGATCACATCCAATGAATGCAAAATTAAATTTAAGTTTGGATAATTTCTTTTTTTTTTTTTGTAGAAAATAGCCTTACTTGGAGCATTATAAAGTCAATTCAATCCTACATTCATTGTGCAATTTCATTTTCTCAAGCCAAGTCAACGATAAAGTCAATATCTAATAATTCGAACATTTCATTCATTGCTCAACAAGTGATAAAATGATGTCAAAATTCATGCGGCAAATGACGATGGAATGTTTTATTAAGCAGTGAACTCAAGCACCAATGATGAGAATATTTGGTGAGTTAAAGTAATTAATTAGTAATGAAAAGTTTTTATAAGACTGAACATGTTTTGCTTCCCACATTTAATGTTGGTAATGATTTCTCCTGTTCTGTCATCATGTGATAATTTCGAACCTGCAATAATGTAACAATTGCTCAT